ACATCACTATCCCTTCATGTGGGTAACTGGGGATCTAGTTAATAAAAGCACCAAATTCTACTTGTGCAATGAAAGCAGCAAAAGCCCATTAGTGGGGATGCATTCATTTCAGCACAAAAGTGCTCTAGCTTCAGAGTAGTTTTTACTATACGTAGGCTATTTATCAAGGCTGTAATTTATTTATCTTTAATGCAATTACAACAGCCACCAGGGTATTGGGGTTGATGATCCTTATGGGTCCCTTCCAACTTGAGATATTCCATGATTCTATGATTAGCAGAATAGAGTCATATACTGATACTGGTTATTCCTCTTTCTATAGAAGAACCATCTGCATTGCTGGAAGCATCTTTATCACAATATAGCTCTGTTGATATTAGACAAAAACATAACCTTAGATGAAGTAAATGTTCCAATATAAAATGTTTGTGTAGACTAGGCTTGGAAAAGCCTTGGGAAACATCCAAACAAAAGCTTCTTAATTTGGAGCTAAGGACACAGCCTATACATCCCACTGGTGCAAGCCATAAGAAGCAAGAAAGCAAGCAGTTAAGGCACACAGCACGCTCACCAGTTCCTCTTCCTCGCTGTAACTACTTCCTTTCCGTCACTTACAGTTCTCCTATCGCTTTACGCATTCTGAGCACCCAAGGCACAGGCTGGCGTCTGGCCACACATTTGTTACATCAGCACACACATCCTCATTTCATTTCCCTAATTTCTGTATTAAAATTTAATACAAAATTCAGACAAATAACTAAACCCACAGACCACCTGCTCTCATATTTTCCTAAACAATTCAGAGACAGAAAGCATGTCTCACAGTCAGCACCTGCACGTTGGCAGAGTGCCTTGCTGATGTATATCAGCACCAAATCACAAAACTTTGTACGATTGTAACATTTGGAAACCACCTCAAGCACACGGTGATCATCAGACCACATCATGAGATCACCAGTCAACTGGCTCTGAGCTCTAGAGTGATGCTGCTTACTCAGTAGGGGGTACAGATGCATGGGTTGTGGGCAGGGGTGGGGGGGGATTGAAGCAACTGAGGTTTAGAAGGGGGAACTGATGATTGGCATGTTGAAAAACTGACTCATATGCTAAATCTTGTGTTTTCTACAGTTTAAACCACCGGACTGTGCAGTCTAGAAAGCCCGGGTTGAGGTTAACAGTAATTTGTGAATGATTGTCATCTTTCATTCATACGGGTATGAGTAACTCATGACATTCCTTGTTAAGGAGCACTGAAGAACCTAGAGGTGACTGGCACAGTCCCAAGCAAGGTAGATTTTTTTCATTCTTATAAAATAATTGACTTCTTTGAATTTAAAATGAATTTAAAAAGTTTTGGTGTGCATCTGAAGGACCATCTCAATAACTCCCAGTTCAACACTGCAAAACCAAGAGACTCAGTGGAGGAAAGGGTAAGGTCAAGGCTGCCCATCCAACTCTGCCTTGCTTCCTCCCTCCCTAATGTGCACTGTGGGACAGTCGTGCAGTCACAATGTCCAGTCTTGTCTCAGAGAAGCCCAGCAGGATGGACAACGGGGCCCAGCTTTTCAGTACGTGTTCAGTAATAGCCCTGGGCCTTCATTGCCCCACACCTTCCAGGCCTGTCATGAAAACAGTTAATAGTTTCATCAAGGGTTTTCCAAGGATGTTCATCACCGTATTATCCATGCATATACATGCCAGGACACTCTAACAGGAGGGAGAAGACACTCAGGGCTGTGGGTGTGCACGTATGTCTGTGGAAGTATGTGCATAGGAAAGGAAAGTCATGCCAGCACCCAGATTTTGTTGTCATTCCTGCTGGCCAGGGCCAGCGCTCCTCCTGCTACCTCACTGCCTGGACCACCTTCCTTTCCCTGCGATCCTCTTCTTCGGTCACTACACATTTTGCACCGTCCACGAGAAGAGAGGCAAGGCTTCTCCAGACAACAGTCTCCCCTGCTCCTCAAGACACTTCTGTCTTGTGTGGTGAAGGAGCAAAGGATTTTATGTAGGAAGAAACACCAGCTGCCTCCATGACTAAGACTGCGACTAGCTGGTTTCTGCAAGGTGGTTTGTGACTGGAGTTCGAGCAGCAAACGGACACGTGCCAGAGCTCCCCAACCACATAGCCCAAAGGAAGGCTGAGAACACTTCTGTGTCGTAGCCTTGCGTATTTGTACCTGCTATGAACAGTGTGTGACACCCACAAAGGCCTAGATGGCCATAAAGCCTCTGGGGAGAGGCGACACACTTCCAAAGATCATTAATTCACATAACCAGCCAGAATAAAGATAATCCTGGAAAGGGAAACATTAAAAAAAAAGCCACCAAACCCAAACCTGCAGGTCCTTATCTTCCAGACTTTTCAAATGTAAAATCGCCCTAGCCTCCATCTGTTTCAAGACTACATGAGTCATATCCTTGCTAACTGGAATGCTTAAATTGAGCTTGTTCAGCATTTGTTACGATGGAAGGAAGTTAGTTGGTAATAATAGGAAATGGAAAGCACAGGTCCTGCTTTTTTAAACCCATGTACTGCACTAATTGTTTTCTGAAGTGGTCTGAAGGAAATGCATTTGTCATTGTAGTGGCATGCTTACTTTTGTTAACCTGAACAACCTGGATAACAGCAAGAAACACACTTCGTCTGTGTGACAGACTGTATGTACGTGCTGTGGGCATTTAGCAGCTTCTGTTGTCACCCAAGCCTTTCACATGCCTTTCCTTGCCTCCTGACCACAGGGGAATTGCGAGCAAGAGCCTCAGATTGTGCTGTTGTTTTGCTGAATGCAACTGCAGTTGGCACAGGCTGTAGTCAGAAGTTAGAAAGTTGAACGTTTTATTGGCAGTTGAACTCAAAAGCTGAAACTGGCATCTAAGTTCTTGGGTGAAATACGATGCAAAAACATCTTTGAAATGATTGTATAAAGCACTTCTTCACAGTGCTATACTTACAATGGACCTAGCTAGCAAAACAATTTAAGGGCTCTCCTTAAATAACAGAAGGACACAAATCATATTATCTATTTGGAAAATACAACATAAATATGACAAACAAGTATTTTCTTAAAAGACTTAATTTCAGCTATTGAGTCAGCAGAGCGACACAGTTCAAAGCAATATCTAGAGAAAAATTCAGCATGTCAAAATTGGAGATTTATTGAATATGAAAATGTTTATCATTATTATTCTCTTGATAAAAAAATCAAGAGATGAATGATAGATACAGCAGTTACCTCTCAGAAGGCTGTTCTAGCCATTTTTACTCTTTGCAACATTTGAATGATTTTCTGGGTTATGTTGAGTTTTCTGCATTTTAATTTCACTTGCCTATGAATATTTTTGGAAGATTCCATTTATCTACCCTCCTGTCTTTGAATCCCATTTCGCTGCTATTTTTTCTTTTAAAATTTGTGTTCATGAGATGATACTTCAATTTTTCTTCCTTGGTACTTCTATTTCAGTTTTACTCGTTTCGATTGTGATGCAATTTCTCTGAGTCACGATTCTCAGGCACATGAGCATCCATGCTGGCAGGCAAATATATTGATATAAAGCAGTTATTTTTTACTCTCACCATAACTAAAAGTAGGAGGAAGATTTGATTGCAGATAGCCACAGTCCAGATTAAATACAGATCTCTGACTTCATTAAGAGTTCCATATTTAGCCAGGCTGGTAGCTGGACCACACCACAGATTTGGTGTCTGTACACCTGTAAAAATGTTTCCCAAAGACTTCCATACTGCTCAGTCTTTATAGGTTAGAAAAGCCATATTCCCTGGCTATGCTCAAATTGCTGTGTGTCACAAATGATGCCCAGCTTCCCTTCTCTACACGACTTTGACTCTCCCTCAGGTTTTTCTCAGGGAGTATGATCTGGTATTATTCTGGCACCTAAAACATAATGGCTGCACTTAAATAGAAAATTTCAAGGTGAACAAAGTTATCTGTAAGTAAAGTTCTGCTGTCTGATCCATCTGCATCCAAGGCCAGTCTGCTAATGGAATTATTTTATGTACTTTGTGCAGTTTCCAGTGAATTCACTGAAATCACTAAACAGACTGGCTGACGTTTTCAAAGCTAGATAGAAAAATCTGTGGCTAAATCAACAAATTAATTTTGAAAATGACAATCCTGTTGTTCAAAACATATAAATACAGACAACAATAATATACCCCAGATTCTGCAGTGCCCTATGCTCAAAGCAAAACCCTGAAGCCTGTACAGGGTATGTTTGCCATCAGCACAAAACTCAGACGAGGGTTTTCCAGCACCCCAGGCTTGACATCCCAAGTCGCTTTTATTCGTTATGGTTTTTTTTCTCTCCAACTTTCACAAGATATAGTGAAAATTGGACCCGCAGATAACAAAGTGCTCTGAAAGAGGAACAAATACAGTGTTATACTGCCTGTGGAGCATCCCAGCAGAAAGCCCATGCCTCAGAGTGGTGATTTCCTTTCATGTCTCTGCACCGGCCAGGGTAAGGGACTAAGCAGTGCCAGGCACCTACACTACCCCTGCCCCTGCAGCTCAGGAGGAGAACTGGAGACAAGGCTGTCCTCTGCCGCTGCCTCCTCATACTCTCCTACTGTAATGTCAGGTGCTTGTAGCAATGCGGAGCCTGTTTTCACGCCTGTGCTGCAGAAAATACTGTAGGTAGTTAGCACAGAGAAATTAAGGAGAAGCTTGTATTTTTTTGTCCCCTTTGCTGCTGGAATTACTGGGGAACATTTTGGTGCCAAAAGACTTCCCCAGGAATTGTTCTGATTAACATAAAATCCCACTTTTATAAGAGTTCAGTGATAATAATCAAAGCTAAAGTTCTGGCAGAAACCTTAAGTTCATAGTTTTCAATTATTAAGACACATTTCAGTACTAATGACACATCAAGTTGAATTCCAACCTCATGAAGATGTAACAAGCTGCATCTGTCAAGCAGAGTTAAAAATACAGGGTGATTTAAGAATATTCAGAACATAAAATGGCTTTTCTATATCCGCTTTTAATGAAAAAAATACTGTATGAATAGAAATGGAAGTATAACAAAGAATTTTCAATTGATCTAGGAAAATACAGGGATAAATAGAGCAAGTAAAACTAACATTTTACTTCCAGGTTATTTGTCTATCACGGAACTCCTGTCCCTACTTACAGCCACTTATGTTTCAAAACAGGCCAGAAAATAAGAACAAAATATCCTCACACTACTTTTACTGACATATGCTCAGTTGAAACTATGATGGTAGTATTCATATATTAATTTTTCATTTCTTGCATGCCAAAAAGTACGATAAAAAGACTCTCACGGTATCCTTACGCTCGAGGAAGGAAAGTTTGATCTCATCTGTTTCCTTTTAATTTCATAACTTGCAAATAACTGGCAGTACACTCATTTGATAAAAAATAATTATGTTACTTCAATTTTTAATGTGCAATTTCTCAGACTTTATACAACAATGTAAAGTTGACATGGGATAATAAAGTATAGTTTTTACCCATGAGGAGATCCATTTTAAGATAACTTCCAAACACTTTAGGCATGGGGAAAATATTTTAAAAAATCTTCACCAAACTAAACTTAACATACATGTATTCCATATATTAACATTGTCCCTGTTGTATGCCTTAGTATGGTCCAAATTCCCAACACAGAGACTATTTATATCATTTTCTAGTGTGTCCATATCTTCTTAAATTGGAAGAAATATGTTTAGAAAAGAAACCTGATCTACTAGAACATATAATAGGGATAGATTAACTTCAATTATGTTACTTGAAATAAAATATCCATTATATAATGGATGAAATATCCATTATATTAAGCTACTGGCTGGAAAGCATTAAATCAAATATAGACTTCTACATACTCTGTATCTGTAGTAAAGTATTATAACATATTAAACAGACCTTTATTTTAAAATCTCTTTCCAGCACAGGACCAATCCTGTATTAACTGCCTCACATAAGCTAGTTGAGAGTTATGAGGACCCCTGTCTTTTTTGGTACTGTATTCTGAGCTTTTCCAGTTGCTCTACACACTGCGTCTGGGCCAGCTTCAGCGTTCGGTTCTCCTCTGTCAGTTCTGCGTACTCCTTAGCCAGCTGAGCAGCATCCATGCTTTCTTTTTCCACTTGTTCCAGCCTGGCAATCAGCTCCTTTCTGACAATTATGAAAAAAAACCAAAAATTAAAAATGGCAGTATGCAAAAATTTGTTGTCGTGTCTTAGGTTAAAGCTGGACTATAGGTTGTTAACATAGTATTACTTGAGCTCTTGTGAAACAGAGGCCTAGAAAATTAATTTGTTAGAGTCCTCCTTTTCCCTTTAAAAGATGAAGCTGCCAACATCTCTGATAGGTTTGCTCTTCAGTGACCAAACCTGCAAAATGCTGAGGACCTTCAAGTATCTCTAACTTCAGTGAGAGTTGAACACGCAGTTCACAGGGGAGAATCAAGTCGCTGGAGACCACATGAAAAATAACAATTTAATTTTCTCTTAATACCAAACATATTTGAAAGTGGGCAAGTTGGGTTTTTTTGTTGTTTGGTTGGTTAGCTTTATCAGTAAATTCTGTGAAGGACACCTGGTTTCCTTTTCTCTGCTACAAAGAAAAATTATTCTAGTAAATACTGGGCACGTGAATCTGAACTACATACATCGTTTCTATAAAGTGTTTACGCTCAGACCTTAGCCCTGCTGCTGAGGAAGAGTGATAGAGCTGCAAACCTCACCCCTCCTGGTCTCTTTAAGAGCAGACACAGGAGGATTCAAGCTGTTGCTTTTTTCTGGATGGAGTCACACAGTGCCCTGTATTCCCAGAGCTGGCCAGGAGCTGGAGCCCCCTGTATAGTATCAACCGAAATTACCTCAGCAGAAGTTAAGATAAAAGAGGTCTTAAAACACACTGAAGGCATGAGTAACTCATGGGGTATCTAATCGCTCTCCACTTAGTTACCCAGCAGGCTAGCCTGGCCTCTGTTTATTTTTCCCTTTAAGTCAAATCATTTGTTCACCCCTGCTACAGGAAGCCTCTTCTAAAAGGTTCTTAGTTCTTTTGATCATTCTATCTCAGAGATTAGTTAATCTTTAACGGTTCATAGCCCTGTGACTTTATTTCTCAGTCACGTCAAAACAATGCTTGTAGATCATCAGTGGGAAGATGCAATACCTTCAAAGTGGACAGCTTTTGCTGCAGTCTTTGAAGGAGCCCTCTTGTCAAGCTAGACCAGTGCTTTCAGACAGGGAATTCCTACTCATAGGTCATTCCATCACCACAGGTCAGAGCATTCATGAAATGCTAACGTTTCAGTATTTGCTGATCACTTGCATTACTTACAGCTGCAGAACTAGCACTTACAGCAGCAAAACTGTAAGCACGTGGGTTTTGAAAAACTGGACTATCTGGACTTCTTTTAGGATTAGTTTGATCTTCCTCTGTCTTTACTACAGCTTTCAGTGATAGCACAGTTTGCCCATGGTTTAGCTGAGTGTTTACAGTCACAGTTACTGCAGTTCAAGGAGTCACAAGTTAGAAGAGACCCCCGGCACACTCATTTCTCCCAACTGTGTTTCCCATACAAAAAAATAGAAGGGAAGAGTTAGCAGCCATTACAGCAATTTTAAATCATCCAAACGTTGCGGTATATAGAAACCCTCCTGTAGCTAAAGATGTTGGCTTTGGTTTATATCACTGAAGTAACGCATAGCAGCTATGCTGCAGCAAAGCCTCTTCTCTTTCCTTTCACCAGGTGAAAGGTATATTCAATCAGATCTTTCAGAGAAAATATCAGGTGCATATTTTTGTTCAGCAGATTTCTATTAACGCTTGGTGCAATATAGTTGTAAAAATTTTAAAAGCAGCAAGCCATTACTGGATTCATTTCTCTTTGCTTGGGCCATGCTAGATCAACCAATTTTCAAATTGGCCAAGATGAGCTGATCTTGCTAGACAGTTCAATATTCCAGTTCCTATTAATGGGACTACAGGCCACAAAGGAGTAATTGCATGTATGCTTTAGAGAGTGAGAAATGCATTTAGGGACAATGAGATTTTACAAGTCTAGCAGCTTTAATCACTTCAGTCTCTTAGGGCTTCCTCTTGAAGATTTTTTGTCTCTCAGGACCGAAAGAGAGCTTCAGCAATATTTCTTTGCAATTATTCTACTGATGCAATGCTGGACTAAAGGATTAAATTAAGCTTTTTCAAATTACAGACTGTTGACTCAGAAGTCTTCCAGACAAATTAATTCAAAATCATTCTTCCTTACTTTTTTTACACTTACAAGGTTCTGAAAGGGAGATGCAGTGAACACACTAATGAGTAATCAGCATCTTAAAAGCAGGTAAACCTTTTCCACGGGGACTTTTAGTACGTGTAAAAGAAAGGTACTACTCTATTTGGACTTGAGCCAGGAGCCGCACAGACAGACAGTGTGCAAACTCAGACAGCTCTATTAATGAATGTCAGTCCTGATCTGATAAGATGAGCCTATGTGCAGGCATGGCTTTCGTGCTGCTTTCCAGTAATACTCAAGCAGCACAGATGATAACTTTTTTTTCCCCTGGGATTTAGCTTTGCTATTAAACAAAATATACATGCATTAAGATCAAAACATACTCATTGCTGTAGTCCACTCTCTAGGACCTCCCTCACAGAAAGCAGTTTCCTTGCACTGAGGTAGTAAAATTGCCCACTTCTGAGTCAGCAGAACCTACTTATTCCCTTCCCATCAGGATCAACACCTGTTTACAGGGTAGGGTGATGTTTCAGGCAAATACTGCCAGCCTGCCAAAGACATCTAAAATTAGAGTACCAGGGAATTGCTAAATGTTATGAATGGTGTGGTTTACGAAGCTCACAAAAGGATGAGGACAGTAACTAACATTTGCTTCTGATCTAATCCAGGATTTGAACTTAGCTTCCAGAGGTTAAAGAACACCATACTAAGCTCTTGCACCATCTAGCCTTTGTTATGGATGCTTAATAAATAAATAGATCTAGCACTGTGTAATCTGTGTTTTCTGTTAATGGTTACTCTGAGTTTAAATATTAACCGCATTGATAAGGTACTTCCTAAAATGTTGTTGAGGTACTTGAAGCTTTGAGACGATCTGTAATGTACACTTTAAGTGTTCTTTTTTTGGGGAGGGGCTGGGGTGGGAAGAGATCAGTGTGATTTGCATCATAAACCAATAAGCCACAAGCCATACCAGAGCAGGAGAAAAACCCAGCATGGTCTTAGAGAAATTATTTCTCTTGTCCTGGCCTTAATGACTGACCATGCAGAGAACAGAGTTCCTTTACCGTAATATTCACAATTAATAAATACCAAGAAAAGTGACAGATGAAGCAGATAAATCTATCTGGAGATAAGTGTATCTGCAGATGGACTGGACTCAAGGAAAACAGCTTCCACAGTGCAAAGAGGCAGACTTGTCTTTCCCCCATTGTGAACAATGTATTCAGGATCATGCATCTGTGGTACTACACATTTCTTCCCAGCTAACGTTTTTGTGTGTTCTGGTGGCCATAAAGTAATTTACTCTTCCCATATTTGACATGGCTTTCACATCAGGAGTAATCATGAAACCCTGTAAGGTAATTGCTGTCTGAGGAGACTGCCCTTGTGTGTCCAAAGTCTACTACTTCATTTTTAAAACAATGAGACAGCCTGTTTTAATGTAAGTGAAAATATTTCTTGGATGCCAGCACATAAAAGGTCCATAAGTATTCATCACTGCAACAGGGCAAGTTGAGGTTTCTCTTTGTATTAGGAAAGCTGTAATTTCCACTATTCGGCAAGTAATGCGTATTTTGGATACACGTGAGATGATGAAAAATCAGGTCTAGAATGGGAAAATTATTAAGATAAAAGATTGCCTTTATGGTTTACACCAATTTTTTCCTGCAGTACCTGAAAGTCTGAAGACTACTTGTCTTAACAGTGTTGGGAAAGACACTCCAGAAATAGTGTACCTGGAGAAACCATCCGGACTTGAGACCTTAGAAACAGTCCTATGGTCATAAGAGCATGCAAAATCATATGGAAGGATCCCACAAAATTAATCAGACATCTCCTATCTACTGTACTATGTGTAAAAGAAGGAAAAGAAATCATATGCATGGCAAAGAAAAGGAGTGATCCTAAACCAGGTGGTGGTCAAATGATATTTTCTGTAGAGTTATATTAGAATTGTCTGGGGGAGGAAAAAGAGAAAAACAGCCAGGGCTAATAATATAAGATATAGCTAGCAACCATGGCAACTCTAATATTTAACTACATAATCCAGGGTCATTATCTAGTAATAGCAATATAACAAGTGCTCAAAATAACCAGCCATCCCATCCCTTTCACCCAAACTTAGATACCCAAAAACATCTGTTATGGAAATACATGTGTGTTTCTGGAACATAAATTAAATTACATTCTATGACCTAAATGTGGTGTGTTCTTGCTTCCACACCCTTTTCTTTCTTTTCAATCATGTCTCCCATTCCAGAGTGATTTTGTCCCTTGTACTACATAGTGCTGGCATAATTGGGAAGAGTTTGAGTGAAGACAGCAAACAAAGCTATGATGATTTATATTAGGAAAAAAAATCTACCCAATGTTCTTTTCAATTCTTTCTATTTCTTGCTTCCTTTTGTTTGTCTTTTTCCTGAGTAACTTCTTTTCCCCTTCTTATTGGCTTTGTCCTTTGATTTTCCCTTTTTTGAACCTGCAGCCTCCCCTTCTCCCTCACATTTCCCATTTTCCTGTGATATAGTTGGTCTCTTCTCTCCCACTCCCAGCCTACTACATTCTCTTGCCATCTACATTGCATACAAGAGAAAGGGGCAAACAAACTCTGTTCTTGCCCTGATGAAAAGCAACCCTTCTCATTTCACATCACTGACTTCCTATACTTTGGCCATACTTGATCTTCACACTACAGGGAAAGATAAGTCAAGCTTAGCAGAATTAAAAGCCTTTGAAAAGTTGCAAAAGAGTAAATGTTTCTGACTATTTTAAAACAACGTTATTCAACTTTCTATTTCTTAAAGATGCCTCCTTTAGAAATATACCTGCATGTATTATTTCATGATTAAAAGGTTACAGTGAACTTTGGAGGTTGGAACAAAAATTGTTTAAAGTCAAATGAATGCTATTCCATTTTTTGTTTTACTGAAAAGCTCCAATATCTGTACAGACATTTATGTCAAGTTAACTTAACATTATTTCTTCCTCCTAGCCAACAAATCAAAAATATTTGCTCAATCCATTTCCTGCTCTTTTCCTGTCGATCATTGTCTTCAGTATTCTGTGTGCACGGTGTACTACCAGTAGGCACCCGCAGGTGCAGGCACTGCCAGGTGGGACTTGACATTTTCACTCCACAGGTGAGTTGATCTGTGGAGAGGAGGTTCAGAGCACTGGCAGGGGCACCATCCAAAGCACTTCTGGTTGCCTTTGGTAAAAATGTACACTGAAGAACACTGCACAAATCGTTTGTTCCCATTACAAGGGACAAAACTCTATCTTTGCCCATTTTATCAAAATAATATTTAAAAGAAATAGACAATAGATAGCAGGTGTATTAGGCAATTGTGAATCTTTATTTCCATACATTCGAATTCAAATGTAGAAGAGATAAAGACACCGCCAACAGGGCTAAATTTCAGAAAGCTGTAAACAACTCCATCTTTTCAATTTGCTTATAACTGCTTTTGAGGCTTTTAAAAGCTGCGCGTCTCATCAGACTTTTTAGGAAAGTCAAAGCATCCTTCCCTTCTGAGAATGGAATATTCAAAACGCATGCCACCCCAGCCAGTGTAATCCACTCTTCTCCTCTTCATTCAGCATATGCTACACACAAACTTCCTTTAACTTTCAAACTGTAACTGTTGAGAACGTTTTTAGGTACAAATCAGTGATCACTAGACCAAAACTCTCTTTTACTTCTTGCTTACTCCTTCACCTCCACACTTGTACTCCCTTTCTGTCTAGTTTTATATAAAAATCAAGGTTAATGTGTTCAGGTTGTGCATGCTTATATGTGTGTAAAGGTATATGTGTCCTAATAAATTTTTAATCCACCTTCCAATTTCAACCAAACTTCATGTGCTGAAGAGGTTCCAGTTAGTTTCTGGAAGGTTTTATAAAAACAGACTGCTATAGAAAGGAAATACACCCTAAAGGGGAAAGGTAGTATCATGAGACCTCCTCCAAAATACTACAAAATGGAGAATCTACCTGGAGGGAGGGATCGTAAATAGCTCCCATCTGGAGGAAAAAAGCTTCAGTTGGCACTTGCAGCTTTTTAAACCTCAAAATTCTGTTACTATCACATTGCACCAACCTGTAGGAAATTAAGCATCTTCAATCCCAGTGCTTATAGGACGACTTCTTCAGATTAAGAGATCTGGAAGGTGGTGAAAGGTGCTGCACTGACATTTGTCATGTTTAGACATTTCACAGCTACACAGCATATGAATATCTAGGCCACAAATATGTAATTAGAAGGCACATAAGAATCACAATAATATAATTCTATTTGCTGCCTTATTCAGCCACTCTTGTTTTAACATATGTTTACTGGGGCATGAAATCTTCTGTCCACAGAAGAGGTTCAGCAAAGGTAGCAGTGGTGGAAGCTTCCTCATATTGTTCCACTGTTGACATCCACTGGTGGAATGAAGGAAAATGCCAGCCTGAAGCCCCTTAATTCATCCAGGATAACCACTGCTGAGAGGCTGACTTCTGGGCTCAGAGGCTGATTAGGATAGTTTTGAGCTCAGGTAAACAATTTTGTGCATGTATCTGCTATTTCCAAGGAGCAACATATTTCTGTTTAGCTAGTACTACAGATGCCATAGATAAACGGAAATGCATTCAAACAGCATTTTTTTTTCCTTCTAGTAAATGCAAAAATACATATGTGAGTCTAGTTTTCAAGGGCTCCAAGCTTACTTCATAAATGTGCATAACTGATTCAGGGATGTGTCAGTAATAATAATGCATTTATATTAGTAGACTCTAAAAACCGAATGATCTAAGGCTACCTTTTGAGTTTATACATCTAAAATTAAGCACTTAAACAGCTATTTAATATTTTATATTCAGTTTGAATTTTCAGAGAAGACAAATACACAGAGTTTCCACTGAATTCATTTGGTTGCTAAATACACATGTAAGCAGCTTATATTAGACAATCAAATTTCACAAATCATTGCAAAATTATTTGAATTAATTATCTTCTCTACATCTTTTTAAAAACATCAATTACTTTTGACTGGCCAAGTTTAATTAATGATGAATCAAATGCAAACAATGGGACAATGTAGTGTTAATCTCTTCTGGTTATTTTTTCTTCTTTTTTAACTTTTGTGCCAATCTGTCAGCAACTGAGTGCCGTGCAGGTCCTACAGTGGAAGGGGGTTTGTAGTGGGAAACAGCAACTAGTTGTGACACTTCAGGCAACAACCAACTATATTGTGCCTGTAGCCATCAACCCCGAAAAAGACAAGTCTCACTTTCTTACCCTGCATAGTCTGGATTCAAGGAGATCTTTGGCTTTCTTACTTGTAAGACTACATGATTTCACCAGTTTCCCTCATATCAGCTTGCTTCTGCAGCTGAAGACTCCCATGGACGCAAACTTGAATGAACTGCATGGTCAGCTGTGCGAAGATTGCTATGAAACAGATACAGTGGTCCACCTTCTACTCAAAGCCCACTCTGCAACAGAGCTCTTTTGACCTCTGTTACTATATTACAAATGTTTCTGGTCAAGCAGCATTTGAAAGAATGATGGTGTGGTCTTCGTTTTCACAAGAAGTCTCAAAGATCGACACTGAGGTAAGTCTCCCTGAGGAAGGCAACACTGATTGAAGTCACCTTCAGTGTGAATGTAAAAATAAAACAGCATTTGAAAGGTTACTCAGCAGTAACTGTTATTCCTTGGGGTTGATTGTCTGTTAAAAAATTTCACTACTCACCCTCTATCCTATCTATCTCTGAATTTCTTTTTCGGGTTTCTTGTGGAAAGGGACCGAGAGTCAGAGTGCACTTTGCCACTTAATAGTCATGGAAAGATGACAGGGGTATGAGTAAAGGCCATAGACAAGAAAAAAAGTCTCCAGCTTGGATATGAACATCTAAAATGTCAATGTACGTAGAGACAATGCACCTCACAGAAAAATGTTTACTAATATTGTTAAGTATTCTAAACCTGAGGATCCATTACGTTCTTCATTAAAACATGTGAAGTTAAATTGAAAAAAAAAAATCCATAAAACTAAAAAGGGGACTTGCACCAGCTGAACTAGATTGTTATATGACCTGGAGGCTGTCAATGAAGGTTTTAAGGGACATCCGTATAACTGAGAGCCCAGAGCTAGAACAACTCTGTGTCCTTAGTGGTCCCAGTTGATCCTATGGACCAACGGCCTAACTGTTGTGCTGTACTGTGACTGTCAGGCAGAGGTATAAGGTCAGAAAATATCATGTGAAACCCTCATGTTTAAAATAGGATTTTACAAAGAGAATATACAACAGTAAATACTTCGGGAAAGTTACTCACTTTCTTTCTTCCAGCAGAGCAATTTCTTTCTTGACCTCATGGTACTCTTCTGCTATTTTGCAGTGCTGTTTGTACACCTGCATAGATTCCTTAGAGTCATGACAAGGAGGCAGTGGCTTTGAGAAAAGAAGAAAAAAATAGATACATACTGCTTTTTGAATGAAATATTAGAAAAAAACACATACTTTGAAAGATACAATATTTATCTTAATTCCTGTGAGAATACTTGAAGAATTTTTTTTTCAGCCTAACTGCAGAATACAGCCAAATATTCCTAGTGATGGCCTTTCACAAAGGGAAAAAAACACTTCCCTGCTTAAGAATATGCATAAGCTTTCAAACCCTTAAGGATTTTCAGACCTTTCCTTGTCAACCTTGCAAAGTATCCCTAAAGATTCTTCAAAAAAAGATTTCTCCCTTACCTCCCTCTTCTCCAGCTATAGTGATATAAGAATGCTAAAGTTGATGCATTGGTCAGACGCATAAAATACATAAGCATGTTTTCACTTTAGAAACTGCAGCACTGAGCAAAAGGGTAATTTGAGTGCAAACAAGCTCTTTTTCTCCAATTCTGCAAGATGAGAAGAAAAGACATGGAAAGCTACTGACTAAACACTCTTGTTTTCATAGATGCAATGCATCTTCCAGCTTATTACTAAATGGGATAGGACCGTGAACTGGGACACTGGGGCTGATTCTGCTGGACTCAACAGTTTTACTGCTGACTCCAGTGCAGCCAAGATTTCATGATGGTTTCTATCCCAGCAATGCCTCAAGCTGTAAGTAGTTTGCTCAATATCATACTCAATTTTTCTCCATCTCTATTTTCTGTAGAAGAAGGGCACTTACTTAGTTAGCAGAAATGTTATAAGAGTTAAATCAGCTATATTTGCAAAGTGTTTTAAATTTCCATGAGAGGTGCAGGTGAGACCGAGAGTTGAAGGATGACAGCAATTAAAAAAAATCGGATAAGAAAAGACAGACTGAGGGCAAAAGCACTGTAGATCCTAACCTAAATACCGACATTATTGCAGTAAGATTTTCATTTTTTTTTTCAATGCACACTGGAGGTAATATATATGGCAAATAAAACCACTCTGTCCTGAGACTCCCATATGAATTTCAACGAAGATCTTGAAAATAGTTTGGTTAAATGTCGGTGCTTTTTGTTCCTTAAAAAGAATGCAACTTAATTTAGGCTTCAGGCTTGACTGTCACATTTTGGCCATAATACTTTCAGGAAGTGTAGTATTTTTAAGTTATTAGCCATGAATCAATTGACTGTAAATGAACTCCAAATAGCATGCTTGAGCCACCTGTTTGAAGCAAAAGGAAGCACTTAAAATAGTTCCTTTACTGTCCAGTTAAAGAACATCCAATTGCCTTTCACAATAGAATTAGATTATTTTTTATTTCTTGTTGTCCTACTTTGACTCTTCTCTGTAGTATAATATTCCTTCAATGATATTGTCAGGAAAAGAAAAGCACAAGTCTTCAGACTTTTCCTATTTACGATCTTGTAAACCTTTGTTTTAGCTAAACTAGAAATTTAAATTTTACTAAACATATTCAGAGACAAAGATAAAAAATATTTTTATCCAGAAGGCAGGGTAAGTTGGCTTCAGATGTACCCCAATGCACAGATGTAACTAATGTATGGACCTTGCAAGTACTTGTAGATGGTATGTGGTTCTTTATTGAATTTTAAAACAGACACTCGTTTTCCATGTTCTAAAGGTAAAAATGCTGTGGCAGAATTGTTTCATAACACATTGTTTTATTCTCTCTGAGCTTGGAGAATTTGGGACCCCAGGGAAAGGGCAGTCCATTACTTGATGAATGTAGTCCCTAGGAAAGGGCTTTTAATTGCATTTCAGTGCGGATGAGCAATAGCACCATTCATATAGCCACCCAAATAATAAGCATAAATTTAACAAGACAGAATATAGAAGTCTTAGTGCTCTAATCCAAGAATGCAAGGGTGAGCCAAAGTAGCATCTCTGGTATCTACCAGAGATCAGCAAACAACAAATGCGTCACAATAAAACAATTTTGAACAGTACCCAGGGGGAAAGTCCCCAAACAGTGATACTTCAAAACAAAAAAACAACTTGCTTTTGCTTCCAACTTAGTTTCTGCAAATCTAGCTGGTTTAAACCAGTTTAAAAATTAAAGCAGCATTCAGTTTCTATATTCCAGCTTCCCACTCAAAAGATATATATAGAGAGCTAAAAATTACCTAGTCATGCTGAGACTTAGTATCTAATTCCCACTTAGAACCAGTTGCTGACTTTCAAACCCCTTCCTATCATTGTTTCCTCTTCAGTGTCATTTTTTCTTACATTGATATTTTATCACTCAAAATAAACTGACAACAAAAGATACAATCAGTTTACTAATATTCTGTTCATACAATTCTTTTCAATCTTGTCTGATGCTATTAAGCACTATATCAAGCACTTTTTAAAATTTTGAGTGTATTTTTACTTTAAAATGTGAATTTGATTATGTTTTTATATGATTAGATGACTGGACAATTTGGTTTTCTTCTGTAATTTTGAAGTTTCTAAGAAAGCTTTTGGAGATAGTACCTACAGTGTCCATGAGTAATTTGTGGCCAGCAGGACATGAAACAGGCTTATGCATTCATTATTTAACAAACACCTGTACTGCAATCACAAGAAAAAATGGAGACACACAATTCTGGTCAGTTCTTTGCTGCACACCAGAAAATGCAAGCCAACACAAAAGCACAGAGAAATTATTTTACCCCTTTCTAACAGTGTACTTTTTTGACATAGACAAGAGTGCAAAGAATTAACGATAAATCTGTTCCCACCAAGAGAAGCATTTTCAGAAGATGGCAGGGCAAACTCCTGAAAAACAAATGCAGAAACAGGGGCACAACTTGCTTGTTCCAAAGGGGTAACTCCAACTAGCCAGCAGACATTTACAGTATTAACACATTTCCACAGAAAATAAAAAAATAGCAGAATAGTTAAGTTACTGGACTAGCCCATACTCATCCAAATGGGAATGGGAGGAACCTGCAAAATCAGCAAGTCCAGTCCCCTGTTATCACAAGCAAATCCTGGAATTCACAGGCTTGCCCAGTTCTGTCTTAGAAAAACTGAAGTCCCCTGCCTCAGTTTTAAGACTGGCCCAGAGCCTCACCAAAGATTAGAAACTTTTTTGTCATTTCCAGTTTGGTTTTGTTGAAGACAGGTTTGTATACTCTTCTATTGTGCCAGTGCTATCTTTCATTCAAATGGCGTTTCTTTGTCCTACCTGTTTTACCCTTGAGATGTACTTACAGAGGGCTCTCATATACTTTCCAAGACCTATGTCTTGGTAAAGCTGCATTCCTCTAATCCATCCTAGATGAAATTTCCATTTTCCCTAGCTTATCCAAGTGTTCTTTCTCTGCTCCCCATTCCACCTGGAATGACTTTTTTGAATGTCTGTGGACAGGCCATGGGAAGTGTTGCAAATGCTACCCTGATGGCATTCCCGTGGCAGCGTAAAAGAACTGGAATTCCCAGTAGAAAGCACTTTTCTTCCATGAATTCTGTATATTATTTTTTTGGTAAGAGTTGCTAGTTTACCTGGGTGACTAATTACAACAGGCCTTAATAGAGGTCAATTTGTAGTATATATTTTTTTCACTCAGAAGCCAACACCCATACTTTAATTTCTCCTTAGGACAGCCCGAGCTTGTTACTTCATGAAGTATCTTGCCCATCCATAAATTAATATATATAAAAGCATACCTGCTACATAAGCAGAAAACAGCCCTGCCAAAGATAGTTATATTTAATGGCAACAGTTGCTACTTTTAATCCCTCTTATTTCAGGCTTCAGTGTCATCCACCCTCATTTTCCTGTCCTGGCAAAATATGCGCACACAGCATCTCTGATTTTGTTCACAAAGCTAGTACAAAAGCTACAGCTTTCAGTGATGCTAGTGCTGTCTATCCTACTATGCCCGATTTTCAACAAGGTCTGATATTTTCCTTGTATTTTGTCGAATAACTCACTGTGACGTTGACAAACTTTCTACGGAATCCAGCAAGTAGACACTAAGAGATCCTGTTATAGGCTATTCTGTAACTGCACATACGTATGTACATCTTCACAAGACACATGCACTGTCCATTTAGATTTTTGTTTGGAACCCAGATATGAAAGATATGGGAAGATGATATGCAAAGGCCGTTCATGAAGAAATAGACAGAGCCTGAGTGGTTCTGCCTGTTTTTTAAGACAGGTTGAAGGAGCTGTTTTAATTAAAATCTTTGCTGGGGCACACAAAAGGACAGCTTTCAGTATTTTTTTTTTTACTTCACTCACATAACAAAGCGTGTTTTGCCTTGCCATATGAATATCAGCATTCCATATCCGCAAAAATTGTATAGTTGACAGTGTTACCCAAGTGTTCAAAAAGTTTAAAACAGTTTATTTTTTAATTCACCTTCATTTGTTTGCATTTACTTTTTGGTTCTACTGTGAAAAAAGAGGAAAATTTTCTCCTGAAAAGGTTGAAGTTTAAAGAAAAAATGGTATAACATAGTTTTGCCAGCTGAGCTTGTGGACTCGTCTAGAAGGCAGTCTTTAGCACTGGTCTAATTAAAGAGTGGTGTCTGACTTTTTGTAAATTTGGAAATTTTCAGCTAAACTATTCTGGAAAACCAGAAAGTTCAGTGCCAATATTTAGCATGTGGCCCATGCTCATTATATGGCCTTGTGTACTCTTCCATGATGGAAGAAACCACATTATTCCAAGCAAAAGTGAGAGCTACACATTGCAGCTACTTTTTGTTCTGCAACTGGAACTCTTCAACCAGTTTCAGATATCTAGTCTAGGATATATCTACTCTGTTCTAGTTTTATTATGAAAGTAAGTGGTTCTCTTTCCTCCAGACAATTCAAGTTGACTGGATGGGAGCAATTGAGTATTTTGCTCTCCTTTCCTGAAAGATTTTCCATGCTTTTCTAAGCTTAGTATGATGCTCTGACTTTGTAAACATCCATGTCTTACATAATCTAATACAAGATCATAGTTATCTCAGCAGCATTACAGGAGACTTACCAAGTTCATAGGCAATCAAATGTAATTATAGAGTACCACGGTACTCTAGGAATTCTCTTGGAATAATGCATATTAAAAAAATACAGCATACCCTTTAAAAATATAGTATACTTTTAAACTTTCTAAAATAATTCGTGTGTGTCTAACAAGAGTCTTGGCAGTCAGTAGAAGCAATAGTTCCATTGTTAAAGTTCCAGAGTAAACAAGGTTTCTACTAAATGTTCATATCACACACATCAAACTGTCCCTTTCGTAATATTTTCATTACTTCTTTTGTATAGACATTTCCCACTAGAGCATGAAAAACTACCCCTTGACTTAACAAACTGGTATTATAAATGGTTGGAGCCTTTTCTCTGTTGCAGCAATTTTACGGTCATCTAACTCCGTTGATCTCAACATATTCATAATATAAAGTATGACATAAATGCTTCTCTCAAGCTCACGATTTCATGAGATTATAAAGAATTACAGAATTCCCTGTGCATCCATACGTGACTCATGTTCTTCCCTCTTCAAGATCAAACTCCCAGCTGGAATAAAGACTTTGACAGAGAAGAGGGAGATGAACTGAGCAAGTCACAGGAAATACTGGAACAGGACAGAAAGCACACAGGGCATAGTAATGCGGGTACTTAACACTAGATACCTTCCTCTATATTCAGTGACCTAAACAACAAGGCCTTAGATGCTGATGTAGGTGTCTAAATATAGCAGATAACCCGTAGTAGAGTGTCTGTCAGAGGCGCCACCACCCACTATGCAGCTAATCAAGGAAGTGCCTTCCAAGGCCCAGTCCAACTTTTATACGAGGCAAAGGTTAACGTTTCCCAATAACAAACTGACAAATGTAGTAAGCCTACCCTCGCTGTGCTACCCACTACATTGCTCACGCAAGGGGCGGGGGGAAATGACACTGAAGCCCAAATAAGCAAGTGCTTTAGCCTCATTCAAAGTGTTGCTCATCAGTGAGAAGAGAATAATTTCCAATACTGCAAACAAAGGGAACTGAAAGCAAGAAGTTTATTAATATGAGCTTTGTTTCACTAGTAGCATATCAGGAACTTATTTGTAGGTTTTTTAATAATAAAGCTGCAAAAGAGACCAGGCTTTTCCTGCATATAGCTGTTCTCATATGTAGGGCTTTTGTGTCTGGTTGACCATACATTAATTTTTTTTTTTTTTAAGTTAAAAAAAAAAAAAGGCAAAATTTTGAGTTAGAGAATTGGTATTATTTTCTTACAAATTGCTTCTTGGAATTTCTTCCTCTCAGAGTAGTAGAAAAATGTAACGTTCAGAAAGGTAATTGGAAAAGACAACATTTTTGATCTGAACCTAGCTAGTAGATCAGAACACTAGACTGATAATTATTATTTTTCAGAAAGAAGCTGTAACTTTCAACTAGGATTGTCCTCTAGTAAGAGTCCTTACAGAGAATTAGGTATTTGTGGTTAGTCTCCTAGAAATACCTTTTCTCCAGCCAATCCTACCTGTACCTCTGTAAAGTCAGTTGGCACCGGTGCTTGGACAGCAGGGTTTATTACCCTGTCAGGGGGAGGCTGCACTGAACTTTGCCCTGCCATCGGATACCGGTGCCCAGGGAGTAGGTATGGTAGGATCGTGGTAGGAAAAGTGGGAACACTGGGTAATTCTGCTCAAACAGCCAAGTTGTCTGCCAGGGCCTAACATAGAAGGACAAGGGCTTGAAGCCTAAAACAGAGGTGCAAATTGCTTGGTACTCAGGCTGTGGTCTGCTGCCTGCATGCATAAAATTCTAAGGCTCTGATTTTCCAAGTCACTTGGTGAACTTACATAGCTTTAAAGCTGCTTTCAAAATCCAACCCGAAGATCAGCTAATTTGGCATTTTTGTTTGTTTGTTTTTAAAACAGGTTTCAAAATTTTCCTTTGTATGTTTGAAAGCTGAAAAGTTATTACTTTTTTTTTTTTAAAGTGCCTATTATTATATAGCCACCTACCCTGCATTTATAGTTTGCTTCTTTAAATACAATACAAATGTTTTTGACTGTATTTATGGCATGGTGATGAAAATCTTGTGGCTCTAGATGTGATATTTTTATTATGAAAATATGTACCGGCACTCTTACAAATTCAAGCATTTCAGGCTGCTATGCCACAGTTGATTAAAGGGTTCATTTACATGACACTTCATGTGTGCTGCTTTATACTAGCTAACTTTGGGATAAAGAAAAGCATGGATGGAATGACAAGGGACACCACCATTCAGTACTTCTGCAGGTCCGGGTGAAGCCCAAGTTGTAGTTTGCTTCTGTAACACAGGAGCTACCTGTTTCAAAGCTGGTATGGTTACGTTAACATAAATTGCAACCACATGCTATATAGGGCTGACACACCCTTAGCAGTTTGGATTATAGCAATTTATAAAAGTAATTAATAAGAAAGTGTAACTAGGTAAAATATAACTTTGTTACAGTTATTTCTTATTTGAAATTTTAAAGCAGTATAAACATAATTACATTAAATAGTTATAACTTTAAGCTGTGATCCAAATTGACAAAAGAAAGGAAATTCAAGTTTTCACTGCTAAAGCTAAATGCCCTGTTACCTCTGCATCAGCTCAGAACCCTGTGTTGACTGAACTGCCTCCGGTTGAACATAAAGGCATCTAAATATAAATACGCACGTAAACTTGAAAAGCTAAAGGATGAAGCGCTACCACTAACTTTATACTTTTGAGTGGTTGAGACAGCCAGATAGTCCTCATAAGTTATCCTTTCAACTACCTCAGTATTACCAAAAAAAGTTTCTGAAGGATAATAAAAAGAACATTATCTGAATCAAAGCCTTTGACTGTTTCTTTGAATTTGTTATCATATGGAGATCGTGAGAGTAAAGGAAGGTTCTCTTGAAAAAAATGTCAGGTACTTAACAGACCAAGAGGGTGTACTTAGTGGAATTGCTCTAGTACGTACTTAAAAAACTTTTACTGAAGGGCTATTATTTATCCAGCAGATGAATGCTTCCAGAGGAGCAATTTCAGTCTATCATGAAATTACACATTTAGAGTATATTATATGTTCCAGAAATGGGTCATAAAAGTCCTAATAAAAATCATCACTTGGCCTGTAAAGTACCTACCTCTAACACCGGTAATTTTGTTTTTATGTACCAACAGCAGTAATGATAATCATACTTTGCTCTTTTAGAGCAGTCTTCACCCACTGATCTCAATGCTCTTTAACAAAAAAGGAAAAAAAATAAAATCAATCACCTTTGCTGCACTGGAAGATCAGTGGAATAAGGAGGCCAACATACTACCCTGTTCCTTTCAGCCCAAATCTTAAGTTGCTGTTCGTTCCTTTAATCTTTCCTAGTTATGCCTAAGGAACCTGCCCCTATTCTCAGGATTAAAGGGACAGAGCAAGAAGAGTCTCTGTCATCATTCCTTCATCAGTCATCCTTTTGATGAGAGCAGCAGGAGAGAAAAGTCAGTCCTTTAATTAAGTCAGCAGCCCTCCAGTGTTGTCTCACTAGTTGATGGGGACAGGAAGGATGACATCATTGGACAACACGGCCTGCTAATGCCTTTCTCAATTTACACTCAGGAAACAACTGCCTTCATATTGAAATATCAGAGGAAGTCTAAATGCTCCTGGGAAACAGATGATCTGAAGTAGTTTACAAAAGCCAACAAACACTCCAGAACTGCCACAGAGGAAAGGGAAATAATCCCTAGATACAGAACTGGCTCTGTGCCTGGTGAACCATGGAGTTGCCATTAACTGCCATCTGATTGTCCAGTATATCGGGGCTCCATTGTGCTATGCTGACAAATCCGACTGGTCACAAAAGGATTCACCACTTTTATCCCATGCTGTTTGCAGACACCTGCTAGGGCAACCGTTAGGGTTGCTGGCTATGCAGCATGAACTAGAGTAACTTTGAGGAGGTTCTCATCAATCCTGATGACTGGCTTTAGTTACGCAAGATTAGAGATAAAATGGCACTACAAAATACACCTTTGCATTCTCTTGGAATGCTTCAGAGAAAGCTGATCATATGGTCTTAGCACAGCCTATAGGCATGAGAATATAATACCTGGCTCATTCCTTCTCCTATCAAAACCACAAGAACTCTCTTCATTGCAGTGCAGCAGTACATGTTGTGTTTTAAACAGGAATTGTAAGAAAAAATTTAAAAAGCATGTGAGATTGTTAAAATAGTAATTTCTCTGCAATTGGATTAAAAACGTCAAATCAATTTTTCTGCAGATCTTGAAAAGACGATGTTTTCTTCTATGGAAATATACAGTCTTATTAAATGTTAACAGTTTAGAGAAGCACCACTGAAAACTTTCACCTTAGTGCAACAACCAGAGTTTTTTTATCATAACAAATCTAGTGAATGTGAAGTACAACTGTAGTAAAAAAAAAAAAAAAGTTTACCTGCAGCTGCTGATCTAGTTCTGGAAATGCCAAAGGGAAATTTTCAGAGGAAGCATCATCTAAAAGGTAAACATGATGTTAAAAGTCAATGTCTACCAAAAAGGGCATTTCAAATGATCTGTTTGATGCAGTTCTACATTGAATATAGTCACAATAATATCGGGATCCTGCAAACACCTCCACATCTGCTGATTTTTCTACCTTTGCGGTGCCTCAATAGACTCCTTGAAAATACTAGTGGGCTGTCAATAAGAAAATGTTTAGGTGCTGGAAAGACAGAAAGCCTATTTTGTACTGCTGTGATTAAGAAAAAAAAACAAAACAAAAACAGTTAGAGCAGTAGAACGTGATAATTTAATAAAAACAATAAATCCAAACAATCTTTCTTCCTGAGCTCTCCATTACACTGCAAAGTAAAGAACCTTCCAAGGATATAGTCTGTACTACCAAAGAGTTCATTACTTGAATGAAGGGAAAGATATCTTCCCCATCACAATATAATGACTTATCAGGGCTAAACCAACGGTAATAGAAACCTTTTCTCCCACCACCCAAAGGCAACCACAAGAACATACAAACCAGCCTGGCAACCCTGGAACTAGAAGACCGTTTACCTACACAAATGTGATTAGAATGGGGAAGCACCACAACTTTCTCCATCTTGCAAAGAAATGTCTTTACTGTAACCTGTAGATAACAATCCTTATGGGCTAGAGTTAGTTTATTCATGACAACAAGACAAACTGTGTTTTTATTTATTTCTTTATTTTTAGTACAGGCTTCCAGCAAAGGTGGGACAGACTGCGCCAGTTACGTCAGTGTTGTGATGTGGACACCTGCCCACTAGTAGCTGGACCGAGATCAGAAATATGAATCATACTTGGTAGCGTCACAGCTAGCCACTGCAATATTTCTTTCTCAGTGACTTTCACACTATCAGTTTTGCATTGGATTGTGATGACTGTTTGTGTATCTTACTGCAGGTTACGGGAGGTGAAGAGAAGGTTACTATTAGCTAGCTTACAGTCAGTTATTTGTGATGTGTCAAAACTAAACAAGGATGGCTCTCACAGGAGAAAATTGCTAACATAGGTCAGATCCTGCAAAGTGCTCTATGCTGGCAGACTTGTACACTACAACAAAACACCAACAAGATTAAGAGGACCACTTATCAAAGCAGGATTCTGAATATTCTTAAAGAGTATAGACTAGGATTTAAATTATTTGTCAAATATTTGTTCTCTCTTTATCCTGCCCTCAGTGGTCATACAGCAAAGTAGGTTAGGGGTAACAAGTGAAATAAGCCACCTTATCCCATGAAGAATAAACATACTGGTTAACATATGGTCAGAGTCTTACTTCAGCTAACATAGATAGAGCTGGGTGCCTCTAGAAAGGGATGCCCAGAGAAGAAAAAAAAAAATAGAGTGATACAAAGGGCAAGAGCAAAAGCTTTTGAACTTCCTCAGGAAACAAAGCGAAGTTCTATATTTTCATGGCGTAGGGGTCTTGCTAGTATTAACAAAAAGTCATACACACACACAACTTCATTTTTCACACCATGTCCCAAACATGTCCATTCTGGAAAATACTTAAATTGCTTTAATTGTATAGAATTGTATCATGCCGATATATAAGTGTTTACCTTTAATTTGCTGTTGCTTTCTTGTACACTATTTAAAAATAGACTAATATTCTAAAAGAAGAAAGATGAATCATATGGCAAGGCTAAAAGGAAGGACGGAATAGGACTCAGTCTGACTAGGGGTACAGCTGCTCTACAAATATTTAGCTGAATAGCTGTTAAATATTCTGACAGAGATACTGGACCAGAGTCGTGGACAGCAGTTAAGCTGCTATTTGTTTTGACAATTCCAGCACTACAATCTTTGGTACGGTAGCTTCAAGAAGGGACCTCGAACAATTTTAACTTAAGAAAAAACAAAGCAAAAGTGATCCCAAGAATTTTAAAGAAACATCAGCCAATAATTACTTTTTCACTGCATCGGATATTGATAGGAAAACAAAATTACTGCAGTGTCACAATATTAGAAAGTATATTGGATTATCTTCAGAAAAGAACCAGTAAAAAAAGTTTGGAAATACTTTAAAAAGGATGGAATAGTGAGAGAAATTACTATAGAGGAAATCCTTTCAATAAACAGATGTTCCCTGCTTATTTTTTGAACTCAAGTGACTGAGTCAATGGTACTAAAAATAGAACATATTGGTATCCTAACCATTATGGCATACCATAGTACATTTTATAATGGGCCTGCCCTAGCATCTATGGAACAGCTGCTAGGGTTTTTTTTAGTTATGATAGTTTAAGACTTGTTTAAATCATCATCTGATGTGCAGAACATCATCGAGAAAAGTTGGGGACTTCAGTGGCTTGAAATTTTTCTGAGTTCCTAATTCTCTTAGGCTCCTCTGAAATTTTCAGCTGAAGTATTTAATTTACAAAAATGAACAGAAATCTTCACAGCTAACTGCAAGCTTGTTTTCCACAAAAAGAAAAACAAAAAACTTTCCCCACAGCTTCCAGTGAAATAAATTACTGCATCAGATCAGTCTGTATTTCACTGTTGTCAAAGTAACAACCACAACAATAACAACAAAAATCACTTGGTAAAAACTAAACACGTTTAGATTTCACACAAGGGGAAAGCAAATGGCAGCAGTCATTCGCCTCCTAAAACTTTTTTGAGGATGTTTTCAGAAAGTCAAGAGGAAGGATATAAACTCTTGCATTTTCTTCCAAAAGAATCACTATTGCCCTTACAACCTTGAATACTTGGTGTTACCCAGGAGATCAGACAAAATCACATTGGCTTCTAGCCTTGAAAATCCATGACTCTGAAAATCGGAAACAGTGAAAATGTCTGAAATGTCAAAGAAAACACTCTGAAGATCAAAACACTCTCATAACTATCTCCTTACTTGTCTGTATTTGTTCTTTTCTATTCTACATCTCCTTAACTAGACAATAGAATTGAGAAATATCTCTTTTTCTCCTTTTCTCAATTTATTATCAATATTTAATGAGTGCCTCGATTGTTATAAGGAATCACTGATATAATCAAAGACCCCCTTTATAATAAAGTTAGTGGTTTTTCTGTACCACAAAACCCTGAAAATAACTAGGCTGATTCTTCACCAGATACAAACAGCATCTCACCCCTATGGTCACTATTTTACTGCTCCCTTCTCTGTGACTCATAAAGAAAAAGGATTTATAATTCAAGCTGGTTGTTGAAAATATATTTTGTTTAAAAATAAAAATATAAAAACAATCAGAGACTGCAACTTGCTGCACCTGAAAACGAGCCAAGATTCTGGTCAAAAGGAAACAAGAAAGGAGGAAAAACATACACGTGAATGTTATGGCCATACCAGCAAACTCAACAGCACTAACCTGTGACGTGAAAGAGTCAGATCAGGGACTTCATCACAGCCACCTAAGTTAAAGTCTCTGTTCCACGATTTCTAAATGAGTAGCGCTTCCTGATTTCCCATGGATCCTAAAACTAATTTTGAAGGTCTGTATTCAAAAGTGTACTAAAGGTAAAGACCTGTACTCTGATTACAAGATGAACTCTCTGTACATAACAGTGGATGTTTTTTTAACCAAAGACTTTGTTCATGTGTACAGAATAGTTTGACTTTCATGTTTGTTTCACCAGGTTCATACATTCGCTGTGCTTGTTGCTGAAAACTGTCCTTAAAACAAAGCATCTGAGGGAAGGTCTCCAGGGAAATCACTTCCTCCTTCTGCTTTCCATTCAGTCAGGCTGAGACAAAGTACCCTTCTGTGCCAGAGCCAGCTCTCTGACCATTCCTACAGCAAAACTAACAACATAACAAAAGAACAAGCTCCCTAAGCATACTGCCCAGCCAACACACCTTCATGCTGAAATGGCACGATGGGCAGCTTTGTGTAAAGACAGCAAGGCTAAGCCTTCACTGTCCAGGTGAGTTCTTGTCTCTCTGCTGATAACACTTATTAATACAAATGTGAGATGGGCTTCTAATGCGTGGTATAGAGATCCACACAAGCCATCTGATTTAGAAGGCTGACCTGTATTAAGACTGATTGTCTTCACACAAAAGGCTTACTACTTATCAGTGATGTCCTGATGCACTCAGTCCCCTGATATATGCTAATGTTGCACATTTGAGAATGAATCATGCTTTTGGGAAAGCTTCACTTGTTTAAACATGTTCTGGCCTTCTGGAGATTCCAATAGCCCAAACTGCCATCGTGTAGATGAACAAGCGAAATCCCTCACACTTCACTGTCTGACTGACACAATGTCTGGTACAATGAAGTGTAACACCTCAGTCTCTTCCTATGTGGCTGCTCCATTTAGCTGAACTGTGGGCTATGGTCAATAGTTAATGAATAAATACTTTAAGAACAACCTCTGATTTACTTGCAGTATAAACTTGCAAATTACAGTTTCTCTAGGATCTTCACACAGATAGACAGAAATAGAACATAAAAATTTAAATGTGTTGAAAGCACATTAAGGTTGCTAAATCAAGCACTCAAAATTTAGGAAATGCCAATCACAGCTCTGCTTCCTTGAGTAACTGAGTTATGATCCAGTCTTTAATTATACACTCAGGTACTATTTTTTTCTCCTATATGCGTGGGCAAGTGTATTCAGATCTCTTCCTCCTAAATTAAAGAATTAAATTGGTAATGTAAGTAGGCTGTTATCCTGTAAGTGGATCAGCCCTTTCACAGTGTTGTGGTTTAACCTGGCAGGCAGCTAAACACCACACAGCCGTTCTCCCCCCATGGTGGGATGGAGGAGAGAATTGGAAAAAGAGGTAAACATCATGGGTTGAGATAAAGACATTTTAATAGGTAAAGTAAAAGCTGCGCAAAGCAAAGCAAAACAAGGAATTCATTCACTGTTTCCTGTCGGCAGGCAGGTGTTCAGCCATCTCCAGGAAAGCAGGGCTCCACCACATGTAACGGTTACTTGGGAAGACAAATGCCATTACTCCAAACGTCCCCCCCTTCCTTCTTCTTCCCCCAGCGTTATATGCTGAGCATGACATCATATGGTACGTAACAGCCCTTTGGTCAGTTGGGGTCAGCTGTCCCGGCTGTGTCCCCTCCCAACTTCTTGTGCACCCTAGCCTACTCGCTGGTGGGTGGTGTGAGCGGCAGAAAAGGTCTTGACTCTGTGTAAGCACTAGACCTTGCAGCAGGACAACACTGGCAAACTGTGTATTGGGTCCAGTCTTGGTCCTAGGGGGGCAGTGAGATCCAGCAGCTCCAGCCCTGGTTATTGACAGACAAGCATAGACTCATCAAATTCGTCCTGGAAGGCTGTGTGGCTAAGTGACTGCAACTTGGCACTGCTGCGTGAAGCTCCCAGGCTTCTATTCATGGCCCTGCCTGACGTGACCTTACACAACCTCGCAGTTACCTCACTCGTAAAATAGTGGGGAATGGTCACTGCCTGACCCAGGAATAGGCTATGAAGGCCTGCTCAATAATAAGAGTTGTGGACCTCCCAAAACCAGCAACAGCCCATAACAGAAGAGATAAGATCAAAGCCCTCCTACTCCATGTACCTTCACCCAAGCCTAAAGCATCCTCTGACGAATGCACAGCCACTGTCCCTTTGAGCGTATCATCTCACCTAAGTTGCTGTCTAACTTCCCAAAGATCAAGCCACTTATTTGTAGGTTGGTGTAGTTTTAGGAAACTAGCTTTGTAAATTTTAGCCATATATTTTAGCAATCCCCACTGGTTTTCAATGAATACATTATCTGCTGGAAAGCCTCTGTTGCCATTAAAGCCAAAATAAGGATGGAGTAGGGATTTGAAGGTTGCTATTGAAGAAGCAACCATTGCAAAAGAGTCTTGCATGATCAACTATAGCAGTAAAAAATTCTTCATGGTCACTAGCATAACAAAGGCATAAAGAGGAGTAAAATAAGTCATTTGCTATGCTTGCAAAAATATTACACTGTTTCACTGTCTGTCAATTTCAATAGAAGATGTATATTTTGCCTTTGTTATCAGTGATTTTTCTGGAGAGTGCTATCAGCGGCAGACTAATTTCAACCAAAAGAAATTACTAACAATTTCAAAACTAGTCATTTATCACCACATGTCACTAGCAGAACTTTTCAGCTAGATTCAAGCTTTTATTCTAGGAGGGAAGGTGAAGAGATGTTTACCTATAAATCTTCCCTTAGAACTATTACACAAAACAAATCCACTTGTCTAAATTTAATAAAGTTCCTATTACAATCATTCTATCTTAATATGTTCAGTAAATAAGAGCTAGTGATATAAATTAGGACATATTGAATTTCATTGGTTTAATTAAATTGATGTTGATAAACTACAATGAACTTTCTATTTGGGAACACTTATTTAAATTTTGGAACACCATATTCACTTTAACTTGCATCAGTTTCCCAGTGATACAAGATGAGCTGAAATAATATGTTTCAAATTCATTAATTAAAACAGTACCTTAGGTCAAACTGGTGCAATACAGCGTGCAGACACACCCTGGGAAACCTATGTTTGATGGCAGCTTAGTGAACTTGAGTAAAAGAGACAAACATAGATATCTATATATACAGGAATAAGAGACACACAATAAAACTGTCTTCTTATATAGCACCCGCTGATGGGCTGCTCCTGAGACTTTTAAGGAACTGGTTAGCCTACTTTCACATTAAAAATACTGCACAAAGCTGGCCAGGATTTCAGTCATCAGGTGTTGACTGACAAATAATATAACACAATTAAATTATTTCTTGTACACTCAGGATAAGCCAGCTCCGCTCTTGTAGGTCAGTTAACACAGAGTTATCTCTTCTCATGAGTTGAGAGCAGTTTCTCCTTTCGCTGCTCCTCACACCCAGTGCTTGGTTGCAATCCTAGCCAGTGAGATAATCACCACCCAGAAGAAACATTCCATTTCCCCTTTTTATATCTAGTTATGCTGCCAGTTCCTCCTAGTAAGCAGTTGTACAGTCCCCGGAAGGAGAATGCAGCCTTACTTGGTGAAAACTGTCACTGAGCCTTTCAAGTGAGGTAAAATTTAAGGAAAAGCTTATGTCAGATTCCCTCACCACTTAGCCCTGGTGAAGGACTTTTTATATATACCCTAGCAGTACACAAGCCTCACCTGATGCTTTACTATCACACTTACAGCAGGTAACTCCTGTTTGAACTGAAAACAAATATCGTTGTCAAGGAGAAAAAAATATTAAAGAAATACAAAAAAAGGAGGAAAAAAAAAAAAAGCCAAGTATAGAACACCTAAAGGTCCATCTGCTAAATGTTTTTGCAGCTCATCTTAAAAAAAAAAAAAAAAAAAAAAAAAAAGGT